TACTGCAATAATGTCGAATAGTAACAACGTGTCGTTAAAAATTTACGAAAATTTATTTTCTCGAATTTCAATTGTTTATGATCTAATGATACGTTATACTCTGTCATTAAAATGGTGGATGGTTTCAAAGATTATTTATTTATTGATTTTTTGATAATGAAAAATCAAAATTTCGTGACATGTGCATTGACTGTATCGTTAAAAGTAAAGAAAAACTCGATAACATTCGACTACTGAAGTTGTACTTGTAGAATAAGTTTTATCTTTATTCCTGCAAATTCTTCGAGCCTTTTGACGGATCAGAAGTATTTCCAATGTCAGGGGGCGAAATGACGTTACTCATTACAGATCATTTGCTATACAATATAGTCTGTTTGATGAAATTTTTAATTCTGTTAATGGAAGCTATCTATAACTTGTTGATCTCCGAATACATTTTTCACTTGTTCTTTAATAATACATTTTACCAAAGTAATACAAGGATTTAAACATGCATAAGAAAACGATGGCACTTTAATATAATTCGTTACATTTTCTTGAGCTTGCATTTTGTGTGAATATTTTGGACTGTGTCTTTTTTTCTTTGTTTTAATTACACCTGCCCATCCGGTTTAATACGTCACTCGAAATCGATAATTTAACGTAAACAAGTTTTTTTTATACTTGCCTGTCTTTCATCAATATCTGTCTATTAATGGCGAAGTGAATTTATTTTTTCATCACTTTGATCATTAAGCAAATATATCATTTCCCTTGCATAGTTGCATTTTTATTATCATTTAATTCGTATTTAGACGCCAATTTACTAGCCAATGAATAATATACACGAATCGTGTGCATTTTGAATGTGTTTTGGATTGCGTAACAAAAAAATGATTATAATTTTCGTGTGGACTCTCCGTATGTTGTTTGTAAATAAAAACGTGGAACAGACAGATATGCAATATTACTTATAAATTTAATGACAAACCGTTGGTATTTATATCGTTAAACGAATTTTTATCGATTTTCGTTCACGTAAGCGTTTTCATCCATAGTATTCAGAATGTATCTCTATTTTACGATACTAAAAATCAATAATAAATAAGGAGTAATTTTTATAACGCTAGATTCGAAGGTTAAAGGTTGTACAAGCTCACTTATTCTTTACGGAATCTCGCTATAAATATAAAGTATTATCTGAAAGTCTATATAATCCTTGTATTATCTTAACACGCTATAACGTCCATTTGAGAATAAAAAAATGTATATCAGATTATCAGAAACTTTATTCTCGTAAGGAATAATTTTTTTTTTTTTTCTTGAAGTTCAATATAATATATATCTAATTTAAGAGCAAGTGGGGGAGGGTTGGGCGGGGGAAGATAATCGATCTTAGACGGAGTAGTATAATTAATATTTTGTAATTTCGAAAAGGCTATCGTTCATTACTGCTAATCAGTATAAACGATTAAAATTCATTTGTCCAGTAGGAGGAGCGTACAAAATGAAATCCTCCCTAACGATAATCGAAAGAATGTGAAATGTGGTTCACCGTGAATTCTTCGAATTCGTTTCCATGATGCTCGCACATCTCGTTATTCCTTTAATATCGTGAAAGTTCATTCCAATCGACGTGATCGTTGTTTGTTCCTACCCTATATGTTACAAATGTAATTCGTTCATTCTGTTATAGCGAGTGTTAATGAAGACAATCATAATAATTATAATATAAGTTAATAATAATAACAATAAGTGTATCGATACTCCGAATCTTTTCTTTTTCTCTTCTTACCTAATAGAACTTTTTATATGATTGAATAAACGTTCGATGGATACGGCTGGTTCAACGAATCGCGAGCACTTCCGGTTACGTAGCCACGCTATCTTCAGCTTCAATTGTAATTCATTGTTTTCATTAACCCTTAAACCGTGGAATGTGAATCGTGATGATAATCCGAGTATGATTGGGATCCCTTGAAACCGCTAATAAAATTATTATCGTTGGAACATGAGAAATGGCCACGTTTTCAACCCTTCCGGTATAGAATTAATTTTTCTTTGCATTTTTCTATATGTCTGACGAGAGATCATCTATCGACTTTTTTAAATGTGTTTTCGATATCGTCGCTTATATTCTTTCATATAAATGCACAATAGGATTTATTGACAATTCTGATTTGATGATTATGAATTCTTGTACTTCCATTTAATGGATAAAAATTATTTTGATAGAGTGTTATAGAATTTAGAATATACGGTCATGGTATGTATTTGTCTGAATCAATTACAGAGTGATTGTTCACGTTTTTCACTACTGAATAGAATAATAATTAATACTAAATAATGCAAAAGAAATCCATGCGATCTAATCTAATTTTCATTTGCTCCATAAAGAACTGTCCTAATAAATAAAATTAATAACGATAGAAAGGGACATTTGTGATGATCTATAAATTCGAATATATATGTCCGGAAGGGTTAATCAGTTGTAATGGATTTAAGGGTTTATGAACAATTGGCATTAGCACGCAGCGAGAGTGACGCGACACGACAACGAATAAACATGAAAATAGAAAAGCAAAATACAAAGATAACCCGTTCGCATTGGTATCTTTCTGGCGGCCGTTTTGAAATCGTCGAAAGGCCGAGTGGGCAAAACGAAGTTTCACTACTTATGCTATGCGTGTATGTGCATTCCAGTGTACGTCTTAAAAATACTCGAATACGTTCTACTTGTCGATAAAAGGCAAGAGAATTGTTCCGCTCGTGTTCGACTATAGTATGACGCGTTTTATCTATTCGGAAATACGTGCTTTGTGTCTCGATGGATTGACTTTCCGTAGGTAACTGTAAACCAATAAGTTCAAGGGACGATATTTAATTTTCGTGATCTACAGCTTTTTTGGATTCATTATCTTCGTTAGATATTTTATGTATATGTATATATTTATATTCTCCATCCTGGCCGAGCGTTCGTGAATGACGAGATCTATGGTAGCTAGAATTCTACGTAGTTACGGCCACGATTTCTCAACGATCTGGATCATTAATTAAACGGTAATAAATGGAAAATCGAGAATGGGGATTCTCTCATGTACTCGCGCACTCACATGATAATAATAATATAATGTTATCTCGCAAGTATGTATTTATACACATCGTAAGATCGAAACACCTTAATTCGTACACCTAGATTCGTACGTGTAATATCTATAATTCATATATACAAATTGTAAAATGCTTTCTTAATGAAAAAGTCGTGTTCATCTTGTGTATATGTCTTTTGGTGTGTATATATTTGTTTATATATCTCTCTCTTCTTTAGCAGTGTGAACGCAGATATATATTTTTCCTCTATCTCTTGTGCCTTCCTCGTTTGTTTGTTTTGTATTTTTTTTTTTTTTTTTTTTTTATTAATGCTTCTTGGCTACGGAACACATAATCACTCGCACACCCTTTTTGTACATGTACATACAATAGTTGCTTCTAAGAGTCAGTTTCACCGCCCGATCGCACCTGTGACAAGATTCTATCTTTTCTCGTAATTAAATAACTTAATGGAAGATTGTACCGTTACGTAAGTGCTATATTACATGGAATGTCCTCGATGAACTCGCGCGATGTGAATGCGATAAAACATTGGAAGTTCGATTAGAAATAATCGGAAGCACTTGGACGTCGTCCTCTTTAGGAAACGATTTTCAAATATTTATTTCTCCTTTTGAAACTGCGAATCGTTTGTAATAGCTTGTCGAAACCACGAGGTCCAGGAAAAAACGCTTGATCTTAATTTCTCTTCTCGCTGTAATTTGTAAAATCATGCCCGTGTCCGTGCGAGTCACGCCAATGAAAGAATACTCGGTTAGAATCTCGTCATTTCTGCGATTTGCCGCGATAACCGTGTCGTGCTTGATATTTGCGAAGATCAGTTCGGCAAAGAAAACTCAATTCGCCGTCTTAAAGGCTTCAGCATACGTCAGTGAACGAAAGAATATTCTCCCACCGTCCTAAACTTTCATTTTCCTCAACCCTTGGATGACTTCTATCGACTTTGACTCGCAGAATTATGGAAAATGTAAAAGGCTCAGATGAATCTGCAAAATGCTACAAAATAACAATCTTAATTCTAAAATATACATTTACATTAGGATATTTTAGAACAGTGTTTCTTGAACATCCCCTTGCTGCGGACCTCCGCAAGAAAATAAAACTTCCGATGGACTCCCACGACTAGAATTACACATGATACTGACATACTAGTTTCGTATATTTTAACTTCTATCCTCCTATATAACATGTTTCTTCTGTTCTTTTTTTTTTAGGGAGTTTCATGAATTTCAGCTTAGGGAACACTGTTATAAAATATCATTCACTACAGATTCACTACGTGCTACGCGACATTACTTCTATATCTCAGTTTACTAACATTTAACATGATATAAGAATCCACGAACCAACGAAGCAATTAACTGGACGCACGCGAAACAACCCACGAAAACAATCTACAAAAACGACAGAAGCCCCCCAAGGGTTAACCAGCCAAAAATTACGAATACTGTGACCAATTCAAAGCCGATTAACAATCTAACGTTAGCCTAGTAATTCAGAACGATCGAAACACCGACGTACTCCGGAGCGCGACTTGCGAAACCGACCCTCGCCTCTATCGAGGTCCGAGCGATCGAAGCGCGAGAAACGATCATTCGCGAATAATCGGCTCGATAAAACGATTCTCGCGGGAGTTCCTCCGTCCCCGGTTTCGCGCGGACTTCCGGTCGCGGTTGCGCGCTCTAGAGAACGGTTGATCGCGGTCGCGTAGAGAGGCGGTGGAGAACGTCTCGAAGGTTAAATTCGTTGAAGCGGTCGCCAGCAAAAGCTCTCTTTTTCTCTGTCCCGTTTCATATTTTCTTTTTCGTTTTTTTTTTTTTTCTTCGTGTGTGTGTGTTTCGAAAAGTGCCTCAGACGGACACCCGTCGCGACAGTTCACGTTGCGGCATCGTTACGACGGTCGACGATCGTCAGATGCTGGCCCGATGTTGGTACAACGGCGGCAGTTGCAGCAACGGCGTCAGCGGCGGTGGCGGATGCAGCTCACTGCGCATATTCAACGTCGGCAGCTGCTGCATCGGCAGCAGGTGCGAGATCTTACCGGGCGAGCGACGAACCGTGAACCGCGGTCTCCGTCGTTTCTTCTGGAAGCCGCTGCAGCGGCAGCTGCAGATCGACGTCTCGTCGTCCAGCGATATCGTGTCACCGTGGTTGCCTACTTGGCCCGACAGTATCGAGCCGTTCGCCGTTATTACGTCGCCCTCCAGGCGCACTGCTCCTTGCGCAGCCTGCGTCATAACAATTTTTTTTTTTCGAATCGTTACGCCGCCGGCGTGGTCGCCGTTGTTTTGCAAGCTATTAGACCGTTTTGGGCGAATTTCCCACGGTTTGTCGCTTTAGCGGTCTCGAGTCGTAATCGTACGGGGTGGTGCGAAACTGATTCCTCGTATTGATTCGACGTAGGTGCTAATGTTCAGACTACCGAGACAATTAACCCTTTACGGTCAAACGTTGGCTTTGGTATTGTATTCCTGTATATGAGTTTTAAGTCTGGGACGAAGAACGTTCTGAATGAGATCTGTTCCATGGGGCACCATGAGGTTAGGGGTACGCGTCTCGACTATGCACGTGGACTTTGTGTTCCCATGTGTGCCTTAGTGCCCCTGAAAGTACTGCACATTTCGATAAAATTCTCATCCCCTCCAGAAGGGATCTAGTCGAGTCTCAAGGGTAGTATAAATGCTTAGTGTAGTTGTTCGAAACAAGTGGAGAAAGACAAGAATTGTTTTCTAAACTACAGGAGAAAGTAGACTAAAAATGATATTTTGAGATAAGTTGCATCTACTGGTGGTCTATCAGAATAACCGTAAAGGGTTAACGAAATCTATTTTTATTCGAGTTATTTAAATATCGAATGAAGTTTTGCACCAGAATCAGCAGGAATGTTCGTCAGTTTGCCATTAATTTATCAGAAGTTGTTGACAGTTCGTTTTCGCGTGGAAAATATGTTTTGAAGATTCTTACCTGTAGAGCCTCAGCCTCGTCTCGCCTTTCATCCTCTGTATTCATGGTGACGAATCTCAGCACCAATAAATTGAGGGAGGCGGCGACGATGGCCAAGCCGAACAGAATGAATATCAGGGCGAACATCACGTACTCGGGTTTGTTGTCCAGCGCGTTATCCTTTTGTAGCGCGACCATGTCACCGAAGCCGATCGTCGTCAGGGTGATGAAACAATAGTAAATGGAATCGAAATACGACCACCCTTCGTACCTAGAGAACGCTGCGGCACCTCCCGCAATTGTTAAGCAAGATAAGGTCGTCACCACGCAGATAAGATTTATTTCTGAGGCCTGAAAATCACACAATTTCAATTAATCCTCTCCTGACGTATTCGCAAACATCATTGTTTCTTTCCTATAATTCTTTACGATTGTTCGTGCTAAAATTACTTGGAAACTTTGTAATTGCGGTGCTAAAGTGACATTAGTTTTTTATGTACCAAACTGTAATGAACTTTGCGGTTCTTACGAAAGTTCATCAAAGTTAGAGAAGATTCATAACAAGTTAACGTAACTCTGATAATGTGTCCTGTCTTCTATTTATATTTTCTAATTATGTAGCCAACTTAGTGCTGTCGAAACATTTCTGTTTGTCGTTACTTCGAAAAAAAGAAACGTGTAATTTGACAGTTTTAAATGACCAAATACACGATGTTAGCTCCGAGTTATTAAAATTGTATTAGCAAAATTTTATACCCTATCAAAGTATTTGAATGATTATTTCATGTGCATCGCCAAGGGGCAGTAAAGGTTGTAGCTTTACCTGGACATCCTTACAGTTAAGAAGCTGTTTTACGTTCCGTATTACGACGGACGAGAATTTATTCAGACGCTCTCCTATGCTCTGGAACATTACGAGTCCTAACGGGATTCCGACGATCGCGTAGAACATCGTGAACAGCTTACCGCTTATGGTGTTCGGCGTCGAATGTCCGTAACCTAAAAGTTAAGCCATAAATCCAGTATAAGAAGTTTTCAACAATTCAATAATACGATTTATTTGACTCCTACGATAGCTAACGCGACAAAGGCATCGAACGCAAATTATTTGTGGAACTGATTTATTACTCGTTATACAATTATTTTAATGGAAGCTACGACGAACATGTTCGATGCATGCAGTTTAAAGTTGTTGCTTTCAAACGCGAATATCTGAACATCACTTTAATTCCTATATTGTTTAAAAATAAAGCGCATACCGATAGTCGTGAGGACCGTGGTCGCATAATAAAACGCCCCGGCGAATTTCCACTGTTGACCGGCTTTGTGAGGTTCCGTCTTCAGCACCACTGTTTCCATGATCTTGAAGTCGTCCTCGCTTATATTGTATTTGCGTATAACCATCTTTTCAATGGCTGCCAACAAAACAACATCGAAACTAGTTAATCCATGCTGTTCGTGTTTTACAACTCAATATCGCTTTCCTTCGTACTTTCAAGACTGATCTACATTCTTATACTCCCCCGTATTCTTGTTCTACCCCTATAAAACTAGATTTGTAGCCTTGAAAAACGGGATCTGCCTTAGAACTAGTAATGTGCTTTCGTAACCAGTACAAAAATTGCAGTTCACAGTTGAAAGTTCGAAAGAAATAAAGGAGAAGCTACTGGAAGTTTCGACATATATCCTCAATTTGTAAGGCTGTAGGGAATCAATACTTTTAACGAAATTACATTTCAAGCCCTGTAAGTCGGTTCTTCCTGAATTGATCCGGGTTTTGTTCCCGAAAGTGGTTCAAGTCTTGCAGTTTTTCCTTTTTTTTTTCGACGAATGGGGAATAACTATCAGAGTTCAGGATCACTGTCGAGTTATTTTTAGCATATATAAGCTGTGAAAGTTCGCATTCATTTCCTACCACCGACGAAGCAAAGGTTACATTGAGAAATAAAAGTTGCCCCTCTACAGTTTTTAGCCAGTTTTATAAATAACGCGACCATCGTACCAAACATTTATTCGTACTTAAATATACATATCAACCTTGTTTACCCAAAAGCGATTTATTAAAATTTGTGTCCGTAATTAAAATGCAACATTTACGATAAAATAAATTCTCGTTTTATATTCTACCAAAAATATTTGTAACGTTACGTAACACGTTTCAATTGGAAATTTAATAATAGATGAGCCATTACTTTTATCATCATCCCATACTCCTCTTGTTTGAATATCGACGTCTAAATTAAAAAATATAAAAACGAACTCTTTACCCCTTGTGCTAAAATTACACGTGCAGCACGTCATGTGTATTTTGTGCCAAACTGCACATTGGCTGTAGCTATAAACGTCATGAGATATAAAGTAGGGACTCGGATCGTAAATAAAAAAATATCGGGATATATGATGGAAAATTACCAACAGCAGACAAGAAAAACCGTAGCATGATGTGGTATACAAGTAGACCTTACATACAATGTATTTTCTCGACCCATTTTTCACGGGCTCCAGAGCCCCATTAAGAAAATGAAATGAAATTGCATAAATTTTATTCTTTTTTAACAGAATGGAAGCTGTTTTCGAATATTCTTAGAATCTCTACACATTCTTCACCAAAATACGCGTTGTTTGCTTTTTGAAACATTAAAATCGTCCAATCCGTTCAGAAGTTACGGCGTTTTAAAGATATGCATGAAATTTCAGTGAAACATATCAATGTATGGTCAGACATTGTATTTTCGGTAAAGAATTTTTTTCTCGAAAGCGCGTAGGATTTCGGGGGTATGTATATTCACCAAAAATGATTGCAATCGACTCCCACAACGAAAAATAATTTTTTTAGAATGATTTGAAATTTTTTAATTTTGCCGAAAAATTTCTGCATCTATCTCTAGGAAAATATTTGTACTTGACAATCTGAGGCAGATTTGACAAAAAAGAATTCGAGTATCAATTTATATGGTTCCAAGCCAGTGTTCTCAACAAATGTTTTTAAAGTTTAATTTCTAGTTCGGTTCAGTGTCGTATCGAGAGAAGTTCATTGATAAGAAATGTACCGTCCAATGCTTCCTTGCGTCGTTTCTCCGTCTCGGACTCGAGAACGTCGAAGATTGCAGCGCCGACGAGGAGGTAGGTGAACGTGAAGACGATCAACGATAGGGTCCGGACGTTTTGTTTCTTCATTCTCTAGTGAGCCACATGCTCACTAGCAGGGCCCCGGCCCTAACTACTTGCATCGCTCAGTGGGCTACGATTTGGTGTGCCGGGCCCATGACGACCCCTTTCCGTTCTCGATGATGCTCGGGGGGCCCTTTCGTTTTTTACCGAGCGCTACAGACCCGGCACGCGACTCCTCTTCTTCAGGGTGTCTTCTTCCTTGCAGGCACTACCTTGTAGCCACTTTCGTTCATCTGAAAAATGTGTTTCCACTGTCGTCAGGGTGGTTAGAAAGTCCTTAAAGTAGCTTCTTAATCATTTAGCTTTCGTTAATTAACTCTAATACAGTTTGATTAACAAAGAGATGCAAAATAAATTATACTAATGGGTTTAATGAAGTTATCTGAAATTAAAAAAGTGAATGGTATTCTGTGCGAATAAATGAACTCTTCGCGAGTCAGGTGTGAATGATAAGGGTCTGAAACGGTAAGGGTGCGACGAAGTAGATATTTAGGTTTGAAAGTCGGTTGCGTGTGAAGTATCTGGAGAGATTCTTCAAGTATACGCGGAGTTTTTAACGAAGGAAGTACATAGTGCTGGAGGGAGGAAGATCAATTTCAGGTTAAAGGGAATGTGGTCTTATGTATGAACGGAACGTGAACAGAATTGAGTTGTCTTTGCTTAATCGCAGACTTTAGGAAGATCAACTGTCGCGTCTAATTAATTTCGAGACTGATCTTCCCCTACAATAGTTATGTATGTGTCGTCAGGTTTGTATTCAGCGTTGAAAAGAATGTCGACAACGTGAATCGCATCATATTTATTGATAATATTGGTTCGAGATGTACTGGTAATTTAAAATTCTCAGGTCGATACGATAGGCTAGTAGACCACGTGGGCCAGGAGGGCGAAGAAAGAAAGTCGAGATAGAATAAGAATCCATTCCAGGGAACTTCGGATATTCGTATTGGTACTGCGGTTTGAGAGGTACCAAAGGATCTCCTTTCAAACGTTTTCTGAACGTTAGTCTCGGTACGACGTTAGGGGTTCCGCGGATATATAAAGGCGTAATCGTCCTTGTCGCTAAAACGGGATTCTTTTGAGAATCGTCTTTTTCTCCTTCGAGTGAGTTCAACCGAGAGATATCCGTGAGGAGGGTCAGGTCGAGCAAAAAATCCGCTGATATAGAAGGACTCACCTGCAGTCTGTTCCGGGTTCTCCTTTACATACGACAAAGGGTTGAGCAGAATGATATGGCAGTGCTTTCGCTGCTCCCACTGCCACGTTCCCTCCATTCCTCAGTTTAGCGCCCAACTCTTTTCAGTGCCGACTGAAACAGAACAGCGAGGTATCCATAAACGTCTGACATCCAGAAAACTTGCGCCAATTGTAATTATTTAATTAATTATTTAATTAAAAGAGCAGCGGCAACGGAAAGTTTTGACACCAAACTTGTTTACACCGACATATCTTTAACATTCTACCTAAAATGATCTGTCTTTAAAGTTCAAAGTTAATGGGACAGAGTCCTAAGGGTACTGAATAACACGAACTACTTGAAGTATCAAAAATGATTTTAATTTGAAGATAATGTTAGATAGGAGAAGTATTTGTACGAACATTCGTTATTGGTAGAATCAAAGGAAAGGGCTCCTTGTTATTAAATGTACAGTAAAATGTTTTGAGAAAGAATGCGAGTACGTCAGCTTCCTGTGGCATTACAGTCATCGCGATTATTTCGTTAAATGTCAAAGACGACGTTCCCGATAGGAAATCGAGTAAAAATTGCAAGTCGGTGCACTTTTAATCGAATCCACGTCGCTCTTTCTGGCTCACATCGGTGCTCTTTTTGCCGACATCGATTCCACGATCTCTCATCTTAATGGATATCGATTAACGGCGCGAAAACGATATGTCAAAGAACCATAACACCGATATACCGGAAGATGAAAAGGATAAAAATAGATATAGTACGTTTGTCGGGCAGTAAATATGATTATAACTATTATACGCTAACAACTGTTTTAGAAATGATCGAAATGTTGTGTTTTCATTAATACAATTGTAGTGTAAATGCTGTACATCATCATGTACAAATTATAAGGAATAATTCGGTAAAATTTATCCTCCAAGAATATAATTCTATCGTACAGTTTGAACTCAAATCATGTCAGATTGACACAGTCTTAAATAAGATTCTTAAATAAGCTTAACCGATCCAGGGAGATAGAAGTACTTAATTTTGAACTGCCTGTATTTAAAATTTATCTGAATTCATCACGGAGGTCGCAGTTGTATTTATAAACGTACCTTTTCCGAAAATAGTATACCGTTATTCCTGAACTTGAATATTGTGTTATAATTTCTCTCGTATTTATTTGGTAAATTGTTGCTAACAAATTTTCAAATTCATTCGATTAAAATATCCTGCCAGTCCAACAAAGTCACTGATACAGTTGCTTCATGACGTCACGTTTTAATTAAAACGGGATGATGTTTCTGACAATACAAATATTTATTTGTGTTTGTTGGAATAAAATTTCAAAACGGGGCTAGAAGTAAAATGAACGCGGTTCATGGGGGCAATGAGTAAACTGATTAAAAATGTTTGAGTAAATAAGTATAATAATTTTACCATCGATGTTCGTAATACACACGTGTATTCGTGCAGTATTTCAAATTAAAGTGACATCCTTGTTTCAATTCGTTGATAAATATAACTAGGTACATCCAAAGTTGTTTTTATATAAATTCAAATTCGTAGAAGCGAAGGCTCGTGTATGGTGTACGCGAGGAAATATTTGCGAGAGTGAAACGTTTGTATCTGGAAAAATATTCTGATCGAAATCAGCCATTCCATCACATATTTCAGAAGCTTAGCAAAATGCTTGGAGAAACTGGTAGCTTCAACACGGAACGCAAACTACAGAAACTTATAAGAAACGCGAGAAATACTACTGCTGTTCTTACTGCTGTTAATCACAATCTGCATATCGGCTTACCGGCCAGCAACCGCGTGGCACGCCCCTCGCAAGAAAAGGAGCTATTATGTTTAATACCTTCTCGCATAATTATTAAGATTGCAGTCATTGCTATTTTATTTCGATGCTGTACAAGCAGAAAGGAAGAACAATTTTCTCGTTTCGTTCGTTTTTTTAATCTTCTAAATAAAAAAACAAACACTTGAAATATTTCTAAATACGTACCAATCGTGTTACGGCAAATAGTCAGTACGCAACAATTACTTTACAGTGTTTTGTGCTAGGGTGATTGCAATTGAAAATTTGTGTTCATTGAAATGTACTTTTCAATTTATATCTCGTTATCAATGTTTGTCAATGGTTTTGGTCGTATCGTATAATTTGGTTCGGAAATATAATTTGGGTTATGGAGGATCGAGTGTTCTGGCTCGTATCAATCATAAGGATTATCCGCCTTAATTTCGATCGTTTTCGAATCATCGAGCAAAAGAAGTGACTCGTTATTTTGGTTTCATCGGCAATTAACATGCTGATTTCTGCGACAGCTCGTTGACACGCGTCAGATACAACGTGTAAATTTCAGTGAAATGGACTTCGCGATAAAAACATTCTTTTTCGACGCGACCAGCGTGTGTTTTCGGTGTAGTCATCGAACCGTCATCGATTTGCCGATGGATTTCGTAGGCTATCATGCGTCCATGAATAATGGATATCCTACCGTTACGGCAGCCCACGGTATACTCATTATTGTCCTCTCAGCCTATTAAATCTGGATTTACGCTAATGGGCCGCGTTTTGACCACCGAGGATCACGTCACGTTTGTCAGCCCGGATCAGCCACATTTTACATACTTTGCGTCGTCGCGTTTATCGGCAAGAGGTAACGCCGGACATTCGCGTAATTGTGATTTCAGCGTCAGTTGCCATTGTCACGTGGTTTAATTATATACGTGTCTCGTACACGGAGATCTGAGTTTAATTGTTTCGCCTGAAAATTCTACGGCAACCAGTAATCCCTCCGTCGCAAAATGAAATAGCAAACTGATACCGAATTACCGCATTTCCATTATTAGAAGAACATTAAATCCCATTAGTGCGTCGATGACGATTGAGTTCATCATAATTTGCCATTTCACCATCGTACAAATTGAGTCGAACACGAAGTAAATATCCCAGTACTTAGACATCGAATGTGAATTTTTATCATCAATGAATTTTTCATTTAAAATATTGAATAACAATCAGCTTACAATACTATATTTTCTTAGATTCGTTTTATTTTTAGACCAACCTGTTTGCATCATAGTTAAGATAGTCACACTTAGGTCACAATATCCCTCTAGGCGAGTGTTCTGAGAGTACTCTTGAGATCTAGAGCCCTTGATTACATCACTTGAGATACGATAGCAGCATTTCCAATAAGCCGACGTGCGCACTATAGAAATTCTCTATTCATGATAAGTGGCTATTTGTTAGTCAGTTTCAAGATATCTCGCGGCACCGAATGATCAGCCAAAGGTTCAAGGATGTCCAGGCGGAGGCGGAATCGGTATAATTACCATCGAACGCCCTCAAGACGACACTATTTTCCCCGAACGCGTAGGAAGTATCTTGGTTAAGCGTTTAATTTTCATTGACGTTCTTCTAGCGAGATTCAATTACAATGTTTAATTACCTGAGCGTCAAGCTGTGTCGAGAGTATCAAGGGTTGAATCCAATACGGGCTCTATCCCGGGTACGCCTTTATCTGAAAGTATCTAAGTACTCTATACGGGGAGCGATTAAACGAGAATTTCGCGAGTAAGCAGATAAGATTGCTGCGATCTTCCAAGTAACTTGAGTTACAATAATTGAAACGCGAGATCCAGTTGCAGCCGACGGTGTAATTGGTTTCGCTCTTCTTCCGAACAGTCGGTGGATATATCCCGCATTACGGGTACAATTCTACTTAGTTCCTTGACTAATACCTTTATATTTAAGCGTGGATCACGAGCAAAGCCTTAAACTTGTATAGGTTATTATCTTCGCCGGATCAAACGCATTAAAAAATCCTTCTCTGTTCAGCGACGAGTGCAAAAGGTAGAATATCTTAGAATGCCTGCTGACTTGTCACGAAATTCATAATCTGCTGAGCGAGAGCGAAATATATGGAGAATGACTGGCGAAG